TTGAGTGTTAATTGATTGCTGTGATATTTTGTGTGAAAATCCCGTGAATTAGCTAGTGTTTTGGCCAATTTTTGGAAGTTGGCAATACTGTTCACGTCGTGAGCACTGTTCACGGGTACTGTTCATAGGCACTGTTCACACACCGAGGGTCAATGATTAGCGGGGATTTAAAGGATTAGTTTGTGATATAAGAATAAGTTTGGAGATGTCCGGTTGTGTGGAGATTAATAGAAATAGCATCGAGATTAGGGGTAGTCCCGATGATGATTTTACTTTGAATTTGTGGAATATTGTGATTAGGTTTTGATCGTTCTGTCACCGTAGCACTTGGGTTAGCCTTCTGTTCTGTGCGAGTGAGGTAAGTAAATTATGGTAAAGCCCTTTGATTTTAAAGCATGTTTTAAACTGTTTTTGAGATGGTGGCAAGCTTTAAATTGATTTTATCGGCATTTGAGTGAGATTAAACTGGAATGCAAATTGTGATGGGTTTTATGGGAAATTTCCTTGTTTTTCTGAAATTGAGCATGATTGGAATGAAAATGAGGATTTTATTGATTTTCTGGAATTGAGCATGATTGAAATGAAAATGAGAGTTTCATTGTTTTTCGGGAGTTGAGCATGCCTATTTAGAAATTGACTGAACTGTTTTGATGAACTGAGAGTTTTTGTAAATTCTGAGTTTTCTGTTAAATCCATGGTCACATGGAAATTTTCCGGTTTGTTCTGAAATTCGGGATTGATTGTGAAATTCGGGTTTTTCTGTAAATCCTGCATGGTTTTGTCTCGGATATAGTTATGATTACTAACGCTCGCTAGTGGGAGCTGTAAACGCTAGCACATGTCGACATGTATTTCTGTAGAACCGGTTCACCCTACCAATAGGGTTAAACATTTGGTACTATTACTGACGCCTGCCAGTGGGAGTTGTAAACACTGATACCCTTACTGACGCCTGCCAGTGGGAGTTTGTAAACACTAGTACTTCTGAAACCCTACCAATGGGGTTAAACATTTTGTATTATTACTGACGCCTGCCAGTGGGAGTTTGTAAACACTGGTACCATTACTGACGCCTGCTAGTGGGAGTTTGTAAACACTGGTACCATTACTGACGCCTGCCAGTGGGAGTTTTTAAACACTGGCCATGACTTATAGATAAGACTACTGAACTGAATTTTCTTCTGCATGGACGGGTCGTCTTTGAATGCTTTACAATTGAACTGAATCTGATTTTGTCACTGAGCGTTTTGGTTATATTAAACTGTTTATCTAGCATGCTAAAGTTTTACCAAGGGCTATCCATAATTACTTACTGAGTTATTTCATAGTTTTCCTTGTCCACCATTTCAGGAAGCGATACTGAGGACGAGGGAAATCGAGGGGAGTGACGAGTTAGAAGGCTAGCCATTGTGTAAATTGAATATGGATTTTAGATATAAATGATGATCTTGTAAGCGAGATTTTAATTGGAGATTGTAAATTCATTTAGTGGATAGTTAGTTTATAAGAGATTTGATCTGGAGATTTTGAGGTTAAGTCGTGTTTGGTCATAGGGAATTAATTTTGAAATATCTTATCTGAGTTTGGATTGTCAGATGTGATTTGGATAAGTTTCGAGCATTGTGCATTCGTGGGACCCGATCACGAGTGCACGGCGTCTGTCGCGTCTCCGGATTTGGGTTCTGGGGCGTGACAGATCTTTAGTATATATTGATATTTCATTTTTAGTTTTTATGTTAATAAATCTTTACTAACTAGTTTTTTTTTTTTTTTTTTTGTAGATTCTTATGAAATATATATTGGGTCAATCCTAAGCATATTCTCATGTATACATCTATATATATATATGTATATATATAATTTTTATTTTTTTTATTTTCAATTTTCAATCTACAGTGACACCTCCCCCTTTTTTGTCTAGAAAATGATGAAAATAAGAATCTAAAATGGGTAAAACTAATTGTTTATTTATTGTTTTTCATGTTTTGGGAAATTTGTTTTATATCTACTAATTTTTTCTTTTTTTGGTTCGTAGGAAAGTATCAAAGTTACAATCTAAAATTGGAAAAAAAAATTGTTTATTTATTGATTTTCTTTTAATGTGATTTGTTTATATTTATTTTTGGTTATATTAATCATAAAATTTATATCTCTAATTTAGCTACAATTATATTCCTAAGTTTACATAATTTTTGGTTGTAATTGTACATGCATAAGTTTACTTTAATTTTCACTTCATATAATGTAATTATATATATTTATGTAATTTGTAATATTTATATATCTTTTTTCTTGTTATTTATTCAATTTTTACATAATTTCATTAAAAATTTCAATTTTATTTTAATGAATGTTGAATATGTAAACATGATAATAATAGTATATTTATATATATAATTATTTCAGATATTTTTAAGCATATTATATAATTTTTAAATGAAATAATTTAATTTTTTTTATAAGATGGTACTTTTCATTTTTTTACAGTAGAGTCCATATTTATTCAGACCGATATTAGTCTAGATATAGTTTCCAAAACTATTACCCAAGGATTCAAACTTTTTATTTTTTACAATTGAGTCCATATTTATTTAGACCGATATTGGTCTGGATATAGTTTCCAAACACTATTACCCAAGGCTGCAAACTTTTTAACTTACAATTGAGTCTAAGTATATTCAGACAGGTTGTGCTCTAGTTTGACTTAATATTTTAATATTACCCTAAATATTTTAATCGAAACATCCCTTTTTGGCATAATTTTTTAAACCAATATTGGTTTGAAAAAAATTAAATATTTATACCAGTATTTGGTCGGTTTGGATAGAAAATGTTTCAAAGTAGGTTTTTTCAGTTTAACATTTTAGATTAATATTGTCTAAATATATATAATTAGATCGTTTTCTACCATTTTCAAACCAATATATCAATATGAAAATTTGCCTTTTCCAGTTGTGTAACTGCCTACTTCCATTTGCAATAGAATGTGGCTTAACTACCTAGTTTGACTAGGTTGGTCAACAACAGACCTAATCAAAACTTGCACAAGAATTCACATTTCTGCCACTTCATGCACTTGCTAAATTTGGCTATTAACTTCCTCCTCATAAAATATAGTCACTATCTCCATTAATTCAAATAACATTAGATAATTAGTAGGTACTAAGTAGTTACCAAATATGTGGATCTAGCATTTCATGTGGCATTCATCTTGATTGTTTGTCATGCTTAAGATCACAGCAACAACAGGTTTGACTTGGCTTGATCGTAGTCACTTGTTCAAATAATGTGACATGTGGCATCATAAGATAAATTTAAAATTTATGGTGTAAACACTTTCTGTGAGTTGCATAACCCCATTAATACCCTTATGGTTTATTATTGATATTTATAGGCTAAGTGCACCTAATTGATTGTATTTTTAATAAGCATTAGTTCTTTGTATTAACTATTAAAATAACAAAGGTTGTTAAGACAATCTTATGTACTTAGAATTATACTTATTATATTTATGATATTTTTTATTAGACATTAACTGTTATTCTTTTACATACATTAAACATCAATAAAGTCCCTAGAGTGTTTGTTGCAACAAAAGGAAATAGTAGCCATCACTATTAGAGAGAACTATATGATGTGATGGAAAAAATCTTAAATTGTCCATTAGTTGTATATGCCATTGAGATAGGACATCAATGATGTAAAGATTATCACATTTGAACACAATTAGTTGGCAAGATTTCTTCTCACAAAGTCATATATCATGTAAGGGTAACTCAAAATGAGTACACTAGATTGACCTACCATGAGAACACTATATGCATTTGTCATTAGTAACTTCTTAGCTATAACACGAGTGTAAGTGATCCTTTGACTTGAGATCATTATTATTCTATGCAAAAACTTATGTACTTTGATGTTGTTAAAAACAACTACTACGAGAGGTTGTGAGTAATACAATCACATAAGAATAATGAATGACTCAAGATATGATTCATCCATCTTGAGTTAATGAGAAAAGATATATCTAAACTATTTGATTAAGATGGGACTACTTAAAGTTTGTGATCATAGTAAGAAAGAAAAAGTTCATTCATTGAGTTAGTCTATCTTAGGAATCAAAGAAAATACATTAATCTTTAAGGATGATGACACACAGCATACATCATGTTGATGAAGATATCAGTGATGAAGGGATTGAATTACACAACTGTATTGGTGACATAGAGTTTTCTTGAAGCCATA